ATTTGCAAGCAGCTTTTAGAGTTCCGAGATACATTAAAGGTCACCAAATCAAGGGATTTATTTCAAGTGTGATTCCTCATTGAAGCTGTTAGGGTATACTGATTCTGATTGGGCCAGTTGTGCAGATTCTATGAGATCAGTTAGTGGTTATTGCACTATTCTTAGAAGCTCTCTTGTTACCTGGAAAGCCAAGAAACAAACCACAGTTTCTCGATCTTCCTCAGAAGCTTAATACAACGTTTTAGCTCAGTTGGTGTGTGAATTACAATGGATGAAAGGTTTGCTTGCAGAGTTAAGTGTGGTTTTGCAATTACCTATTACAGTCTTCTATGATAACAGATCAGCGATACACATCACTGAGAATTCAGTATTTCACGAAAGAATGAAGCACATTGAGATTGATATTCATGTGACTTGTGAAAGGGTGAAGTCCGGTTTGATTAAATTGCTTAATATACAAACCATTGATCATGTTGCCGACTTATTTACTAAGGCATTGAGAAGATCCATGAACGATTGGACAAGCTTGGAGTTAGCACACTCCAGCTTGAGGGAGGCTGTCAAAATACTAAAGAAGACGAAGCAGGAGCTCATTAAAGGGAAGTAGTTGATGCGGAGCTGAAATGAACACATCGACCTACAACTTGGAGAAAGACGCCAACGAAACGTGTTTCGGACTTGAATACGATTTGTTGTATGGGAAGTGTTTCGAGCCATCGTCTGGAACACGTCGTTTTATCATTTATCAGCTTTGTAATAAATAAGTGAAGTTAGTTTTTTTCTGCTAGTTTACTTGCCACGAGTTTGGTAATATTTTCTTTACCTTTGAAACAATAAAATCGGAAGAGTATAAAACAGAGCAAAACCCGAGTTGTTGCTCTTTACGGGTTTTCGTCAAAAAAATCCTTTGCCTTCTCAATATTTTCTACGCTAGTGTCTTGGGCTTTCTGAAAGTCATTACAGAATATCTCCGCTCAGGTAAGCACTTCCCCTTCCTTCAGCTTCACATTATTGGGAGGTGGTTTTGTGCTCCCTCTAGATGAACTATAGAGCTTTCACTAAGTCCGCCGTCTTTCCGGTTGTATTCCCTTTATGAACTTACACCACCAAACACCACAAGATTCATCTCGTTCGAGAGCCGCAATATCTGAGAAAGAGTCATATCTCCATGTTCAATTCACCCACGCGCATTAAAAAAAGATATGTTTTGCGATTCATGTAATCCACAGAGTGAGCATCTTGTGTATGAGTCGGAAGTCTAATTGCTAGGTAACCTGTTTGAGAGAATGTTCTTGCACCATCTCCATAGAAAGTTCTTAACTTTTGGTGGAATAGAGAGGGACCTGATTACTCTTCAATCATGTATGCTTGTAGATTGTTTTGGTAGGCGTAGTATGCTGATTTGACATAATATCTTCCATTTTTCCACAACACTCTGAAATCCTCACCAAGCCATAAGTGGTAATGTGATGGCCTTGATGGCTGATGCTTTCTCTGTTTGGTAGGAAATGTGTTTGTCCGTAGCAGCTAATCCCTACAAGTCATTGTCTGATGGTCGATGAGGGTAGCTATAGTGTAGCCTCTTCTCCAAGATCCGTAAATGGGGATTTGATTTGGTGTCTGTATTGGGTTGGGTAGCAATTTCTCCCCCAAAATGTGTACCTTGTCTCATTTTTCAATCACCTACCTCAATCCATTCTTCAATAACTCTTGAGCCATCATTGAACTTCTCCAAATATAGCTGGGGTTGTAGCCAACCTTTGCTTCTAGAATGCCCGTTGGGGGAAAATTGCATCGAGATTTTCACGTAAATTTTTCATCGATATTTTGTAGCCATCCTTTGCTTCTAGAATACATGTAAGTGAACAGAGAAATTGTTGTTTGAAATAAAAAATAATGGGTGCAAATAAGTTAAAAAATAAAAATATAAAATTTATAAGATTATCATAAAATATTCAATGATAATCATATATAGAATAATAAAAATCCTTAGATAATATTTAAAAATATTAGTTATGCTCAATTTTAAAAAATTTAACTAATTTTTTTGGTCAGATAAAATCATCGGTGGTCGAGCAACCTCGAGGATAATGAGCAGGCTCGAAATCAAACTAATGACCAAAAAAAATTGCTAGCTTATGTCACCGACTCGCACATTAATTTATTGACATGCTTGTTAAATCGAATGAAATCGACATATTAAATTAGAATTGACCACAACTAGTCATCCTACCAAGTTATCGTGCCCAGTTTAGTTCTAAATTTGATTTTGTCAAACACGTTTGAACCTTCAATTTTAAGTATTTGACCAATTGATCCGAGTCAACCAAAAAACTTCTTACTCAACTTTCCCATGACACTTTCTCTATATAGTTTTCAACGCAAATTTGAGTCAACCAAGAGATCTCCATTAAACCAGATGATACTAATAATAATAAACAATGATTATGTAACATTTTTTAGTGAAATGACTATATAATTTTTTTTATTAAAAATAATTATTTATACAAAATTATAATAATTTTCATACTAATTTCATCTCTCACCTCTTCCTCCCTTTCTTTCTCTTTCTTTCTTTGCACTCCAAATTTGGGGAGGGAAGACTACAATAGTGGATCTACTCTCCTTCTTACTATAAAAAAATATTCAATTCTTTCGATCTAATCCGTGCAGAGCTAGCATAATCTGTGCAGAGTTGGCTAGGATTTATACATGCTTGGTTGGAAATTTGGGAGTTAGGAAGATTCTTCTACAAATAGATTCATCCATAGGCAGGAGCCTCGTTGAGGCTACTAACCACGTCATCCTAATCCTGGACTCATAGTCGAATTCAATCACCATCTAACTGTAGCTTGCCAGATCACTATTGAACGTGTGTATAAAAAAGTATATTTCGCTCTTGATTACTTAACGTCTATTGCATTCTCTTCCCGTGAGCGTTTATGTGATTACGACATCAAACAATTCATTATTGTATTGCTTGTACTGCGATCGGATTGAAGTTTATACCCCATATTTAGTTACTGAATAGCTGGATTTTATTCCGATAGTAAAACTGTTGCTAAATTCTTAACCAAAAGTGAAAAAGGACCACAAGGAAAGAAAAACCAAAAAGTGTTAATCTTAAATTAAGATAAAGGAAACCGGATCGTACCGGCCAGTCTGCCTGCTGGTGACGAGAGGCCGGCCGTCGATCGATCTCCAGTCCCTCCTGTGCTCGACCTCCCCTGCCTCTGGCGACCGGCGAGAAGGGCAGAGGACGAGCCTGCCGCCGCCCAAGCCTCCCTCTCCGCCGCGCCGACCCTCCGTCTCTGCCGCGCCGACCCTCCCTCTGCGCCGCGCCGACCCTGCCTCTGGTACCATATTATTTATTATGTATAAGTGCATTCTTCGGAGCAGATAAACCCGAGTGCACGAATGATTTCGTAGTTAGGCAGTTCTCATTCCTGCAACTTGTGCACTGTGTTCTAGTCAAACCGGTAGTTCATGTTAATTCTGCTAATATTCATGACACGTCAAGACATCTACTTTTAGTCTCATAATACCTCATTTGCTCTCTTCACTATATTGATCTGCCCCTTTTCTACCCTGTTCTTGAAGGTTCATCATTGGTTTCTTTCTTGGCGCCATCCCCTGGTACCTTGGGCTGTTCGTTCTACTCTGTGCACAGATAGATCCCAGGGAGAAACCTGTATACGTTGCTTGTACAATTGCTGTAAGTAGAACCTTTTATGCTTTATATTAAATGTGCTTATTTAGTTTATTCAGGTTTGTTATCTGGTATATTCCGGTATTATTCCGAAACGGTATCCTGAATCTGCCGATACGGTTTTTTTAACAAAAAAATATTATTTAATTACAAAAAGGTATTTTGCCGGTACACAACGATTGAACCACGGTAGTACCACAAAATATCCTACCACTGGCGGATCCGGTATGAGTTCCAGTACGGTTTCCTTTACCATGATCTTGGTGCCTCATAACATATGTAGGGGTGAACAAACACACCCGCAAACCGACCCACCCGTCCAACCCGACCCAACCCACCCGTATTTATCCCTAAAACGAAAGTTTTGGGTTGGGTGAGGGTTTTCTTTTGTACAACCCGTCTCCTTTGGGTTGGGTTTGGATTTTGGATTACACAACCCGTAGAACCCGACCCAACCCGTGTTCCAACTATTAGTATGAGTTCGGATCTAAAAATATTTATGTCGTATATAGTCATATACTTATGAGAAAATTAAGATATTTCGGCATGTTTTTCTCTCATGGTCTCCCTAATCTAATGCATTCTTCGTCTTAAAGTTTAGACATAAATTGAATATAGTTGTGATTCACGTAATCCTTTTTCTTGTGTACAATTTTAATAGAATAACATATTATGAGTGCGTTTGTTTATAACATTTTTAGCCTATTTTCACAAATATTGTGAAAAAAACAAGACATATGTTGAAGTAGATCACATTTTATTAAAATTCAAACAACATTTGTGAATTTTGATACCTTTCACCTCGGTTCATTCGTTTGAAATTTTAATTAGTTATAAAATATTTTTATGATATAGAATAATTATATATTTTATGTTGGGTTGAGTTTTTACTTAAAAATATCGCCAACCCAACCCAACCCAATTAGAAACAAACCGTAGGGTTTAAATTTTTTTGGGTGGATTTGGGTTTGATATTTCCCAAACCGTAGTGCATGGATCGGGTGGTTAAAATGACTAAACCCGAACCACCCGACCCATGTACACCCTAAACAAAACATATGTATAATATTTTGGGCCTAGCCCAAAATGCAAAAAGGCCCAATTGACGGTGATAATTTTGGCTGCATGACTTGGTGCGAGATCATCAAATCATCCAGTAATCCCCCTTTCCCGCCATTATCGCCAAAACCCACTTCCGTTTCAGTTCCTTTGAAAATAGCGCACTCGTTCTCGTCTTACCCGTTACTCGTTAGGGCTTTGACGTCCGACGAGCAAGATCGTGGTCACGACGATGGAGGACTCGGAGCGTTTCCCCGGTCCGGCGGGTACTCCCACACCATCCGGGGCGGGGACTATCAAGAGGATCCGATTGGAGAACTTCATGTGCCACAGTAATCTACAGATTGAGCTCGGCCCGCGGGTCAATTTCATCACCGGCCAGAATGGGAGTACGTCTCTTTTTACCCCCTTTGTCTCGTTGGCGCCTCTTTGTATGTACACTCGTGTTTCGAATCACTAGCATCATTGCTATTAGGGTTCCGTTTTCGTTATGTGGTGTAGTTCAATGACTTAGTGAAACGAAATTCGAGGCCAATACTTAGCAATGAATTTTTGTACGGTGATTGAGAAATGATGTCTCCAAGACTCCAACTGGAATTGTCTTTGCGTTATATCCTTCTCAGGGAAGAATGATCTGTTTGGACCGAGTTAATTCTTTGGGGATTTTGGGAGTTTTCAGGTGGTAAAAGTGCAATACTTGCTGCAATTTGCGTAGCCTTCGGAAGCAGAGCTAAGGGGACGCAGAGGGCGGCCACACTGAAGGATTTCATAAAAAATGGTTGCAGGTTTGAGCTTCTATCCTGTTAAAACAGTATCTCCTATCGCACTTCCAGGAGTGATGTCTGACAGTCTGAGATTGTTTCCTTTCCAGTCATGCTGCTGTTGAAGTGGAAATAAAAAATGAAGGACATGATGCATTTAAGCATGATATTTATGGCGATGCCATAATTTTAGAGCGTCGAATCAATCAGTCCGGTGGCTCCATGACTCTAAAGGATCACCGAGGTCTGTGCTCTTTTACTAAATTTATATTTGGTTAATTTTTGTCCCGATCAAGGCTTGAATCTAGGTGCACTAGATATTTTGGCAAGCATTCGCTGCAACTATTAGGTCTGGACCTCAGGTTACTTAAAAATGAAAAACTGAAAGTGTCCTTTTACTTTCTTCAACAAGCTCTGGGATTATTAGTACTCAATGAGTTGCGTTACTATTATTGGTTATTGCTGGGCTTTCCCTAGATGTCTAAAATAGATCACTTCAAATGCTGAATCACAGCATAAGCTGGCCTAGTTTGAGCAATTGGCTCACAACTCACAAGAGTCATATGTCATGAGGATGATTGCATCAGTGAGTGTCTTAATCCACCATCTTATTCAAGACATAAGAAGCAAAGAGCTACAGAAGTGTTAGATATATCATATATGTGAATATGAAAAATGAAATATCACTTCTGCCCCACTACGGCCAGTTTGATTTGATGCTTTATGTGGTAATTATCATTCTCCATACTGAACTAGTTTGTCATAGGTGACTAATGATTTATGAAATCATTTGCGTTTGTATGCATTGGCATCCTTGAGATGTGATGATCTCTCCCGTAAGGAAGTCACATCATCCATTAATGGTCTGAAGTGTTGAACTTTAGTGAAAAGATATAACTGTACACTTATGCATTTGGATTGTCTTTTTTTTTTTTTTTGAAAGATGTGCATTAGGATTGTCTATTCATCAATTTCAAATTTAGTTCACCCTAAAATCGTAAGTACTGAAGTCAATAGGCACAGGAATTTTAACACTGTCCTATGCAATTTGATTTTTTTTGTCACCTAAGAAGATGTTCGATTCAACCAGAACAATGAACTTGTACCAGGCAACTAGTTTTAGATCCATGCCTGCTTTGTGGGATTTGTTTCTGCTTACTGAGGATTGACATAAAAACTTATGATGAACTTCACTTTTGTCTTTTGCCAGATGAGAGAATTCAGTACTAACTTTTTTTGTTTTGTCTCTGGGATATATGATAGGAAGAAAAGTTGCAGGTCGGAAAAATGATATTCAGGAGCTCATTGATCATTTTAATGTGAGTTTTCTGAACACTGCATTTGCGTCGTGTCCTTCAGCGCATTCTTTCAACTCATGGTGCTGTATTAATTGCTGTTAAAATGTCAATCAACTGAAAAGGAACTATTAACATGATAATTACTTCCTACTCTTCGTTTTATTTTGCCAAAAGTAACAATGACTGCTACAGTGTCTATTGTTAATGTTTGTACTCTAGTCTCTATTCGACTGCTAAGATGGTGGTTCCTATTCTTCATATTCTTGCGTAAGTGTCTAATCTAAGTAATTGTGTCGGGCATGGTGCAGATTGATGTGGAGAATCCTTGTGTAGTGATGAGTCAAGACAAAAGTAGGGAGTTCCTGCATTCTGGGAACAAGAAAGACAAATTCAAGGTGATTCTGTTTGCTATTCTCCTTTAATTTGGTATTCTTTGCTGGTCTGATATGGTCAGAGCAGTATCTATAGTGCTCCATGGTCACTCTTTTTTCTTCAGTTTTTCTTCAAGGCTACTCTTCTTCAGCAAGTTAATGATACCTTGCAAAGGAACACGGAAGGACTGAAGTCAGTAAGTGCCGCTGTTGATGAAGACGAGGCTTCTATTAAACCAGTAGAGAAAGAACTTGAAGACTTGCAGAGAAAAATTAGAAACATGAAGCATTTGGAAGAAATTTCTCAGGAGATAGAGGTTTTGACGAAGAAGCTAGCATGGGCATTGGTTTATGATGTAGACAAGAAAAAAAAGGAGCACATTGTGATGATGGACACACTCAAACAACGTGTTCCTGCTTGCCAAAGAAAGATAGATGAACAACTAGTGAGTGATTGAAGGGATTGGCATTATTAAATAATCCTATGTTTTATTTGTCATTTTCTACTAACCAAAACTGGTATGAGCTTTTTCTTTCCAGTTATTTCATTATAATGCCTGTTACTTTTATCTGGATGTGTTGGCTGGAGTATTGTGAAACCACCAACAGTAAGATCTTCTGAGCTTGTTCCTTTGTTTGATTCAAAGGCTAAGATGGAATCGCTCAAGGAAAAATCATCAAAGAAGAAGGGTCAAATTGATTGCCTGATTGTCAAAGCATCGGAAGTGAAGAGTAAGCAGAAGGAATTCGAGGAGTCTATTTCTATGGTAGTTTTCATTCCCTATTAGAAGAAAAGTACTAAATGGAATTGGTAATCTTAGAATTCGAAATTCCTGGGCGGTGCAATGCGCATATCCCTTTAGAGGTGTGAAAAAGTTTGACATACAAAATTTGGTATATTCCTATTTGAAAGATAGGTATAGACAAAACAAGGTGGTTTTGGATCCTAAGTGCATCCCTTGATTTCAGGCATGTACACGAAAGTCCAATCTTTTATGCCTTTTCAGGTGGTTTACTGTTATCTGTGAAAATTTCACATGCTCCGATTCTGTATCTGAAGTTGATTTTGTCTGTTCATGAGGTTTTCTGGCTAGGTTGTTGTTGTATGTTCAATAACTCCACATCCACTGATTTGTATGTGAAATTGATTAATTAGGCCAGAAAGGAGAAGATTGAGTTAGAAGAAAAGCATAAGCGTGCTACTAATCAGATTGACGACAAGGAGAAACAAGTATCAAAACTTAAGCGGCAAATTGAGGAAATTAAAGAGCAGCATCTTAGAAACACACAGGTTTTGTTATCTAACCTATATTGCGTTTTCTTTCTTCCCTTCGTGTGCATCTTTGATTGTTCATTTCTGTGTCTAGTGTTTTGTTTATGGATATGAGAAACATGGGGAAGGTTCTCTGTAGTTATCCCCATTTCCCTTTGTTTTAATGTTGAAGTTTCTTGTCACGTGTAATTTGTCCTAGTGCTATAAGTCGTGTTCTATAGTTCACTAACCAACTGTGCAATCTGCCAATTGCACGAACGGAGGCATATGGTTTCTTTTATTCATGCCTCTTTGGTGAAGGACATATGTCATTCACTTCTTATTATTTTGTACGCTTTAACCTTGGACTTGGCCCTTGACTTTCCTGAGATGTTACAAGAATTGTGATGCTACGCATGATCTTCTTGTCATCTAGTTTGCTTCCAATGCTAAATACAGTTAGACGTTATGGCTTTCTGGTAATTGTTGTTCACTTCTGAAATTGATCTTGTACTGCAGGCTGAAAAATCTGAAACAGAGGAAAAGATCAGAGAACTTAAACGCACAATAGATGCTGCAACCGACTCACTCTCAAGGTGATCCATTTCATATTCCCTTATGTTATCATCTATCTTTTCACCTCTGCATCAAGATCTATTTGTCCAACCTGCAACCCTGATAATCTAGGTTAGAGAATGAGGAATTTGGCTCAACAGATTACAGGGATAAGATAGAAGGTGAAACTGATGAGATTGCTAAACAGGTACAAACTTCTGCAATTATATAACTGGACCATAACATAATGTTGCTTCAGTGTACTGCCTTGTTTTCCTTCACATTGCTTTCTAGTTAAACCCTAAGAAAATGCATTTTTTGAAGGTTGTACATTAAATTATAGAGGGACTCAGTCTTTAAGCAGAAGAGATGTAATACTGTTCGTGCTTGACTGGCCTAGGCTTTTAATCTATTGCTGGGTTGTTTTTTTATTAGTTAGTAAAGAGCTCTTCCTTTATTGCTTATACATGGACGGATCTCTTGAACTGGCAGTTGGCTTCACCAGAAAACTTCTTGAGCCGTATATTTATTTTTCCTGTAACTAACTAGTTGAGTTATTTCTTTGCAGATTTCAGATAACGAGAGAAAACAAAATGTTCATCGGTCAGCCATTATAGAGCTTCAAAATAACAGAAGAAACAAGGTATCTTGGATCATTATGGTCTTAGTGATCTAACTTGCTTAACAGTATGATCTGGTTCTGTGAAAGAGATGTTATAATTATCCTTTTTGTAATCATAGCTTGATGTTGATGTATTTCATAAATGAATGTAACTTTATAAATTATCATTGTAATATCTGCAATTTGGCCTAGGTCACAGCATTTGGAGGAGGTAAAGTCCTTCAACTTCTGCGTGCAATTGAAAACCATCGTCATCAATTTAAAAGGCCACCAATAGGTCCAATTGGCGCTAATATGGTAAGTTGCCAGTCTTTAATTATTATGTACTCGAGCTCTATCTGTTTGATTATTGATTCTTTGAAAGTTGAAACTGACTTTAATTTCATAGATGTTCTTAAAGTCATGGTCAGCCATTTTGCTGTTCCATACCTAAGTTGTTGACACATTCTTTGATGACTGACTCTGAAAGGCCTTAGCAAATGATGATCGATGGGCTCTAGCTGTTGACTGTGCGCTTGGGAAGCTGCTCAATGCGTTCATTGTGACAAATCATAGTGATTCTGTTCTTCTAAAAAATTGTGGAAGAGAAGCAAATTATGGTCACCTGAGAATCTACATATATGACTTCGAACGACCAAGGTGGGTAGATGCCTATGGTTTCTGGCTCCTGATGGGTTTCTGATCCTATGCAATCTCATTTTCTTGTTTGAGCTAAATCCTTGTCTTTTTATCTTACCTTATGCTGTAGGTTAAACATACCTCCTCATTTGCTTCCCGGTACAAATCACCCAACTGTTCTATCTGTTATACATTCCAGCTATGATACATTGCTGAATGTGCTGATAGATATGGTAATAAGTGATTTCATAATGTTTAAATACATCAGCTAGCTTCCAGAAGGCCATGTGTTTGCTGAATGCTTAACTATTTTGTTGTTCTCCAGGGTAATGCAGAAAGGCAAGTCCTTGTCAAGGACTATGACACCGCCAAGGCAGTTGCTTTTGATCAAAGAATGTCAAATGTGCATGAGGTTTACACGTCAGATGGATATAGAATGTGAGTGTGTATATATACATTTTTTTTGTGTGTATAACAAATGTGTCCACAGCAGTCACTTCTTCATTCCCCTTGTCATGGGTAGTCACTCTAGGCGGTAAACAGCTCCCACCGTATGTATCCTATTTGATATTTTATATTGGAATCATCAATTCTTAACAATAACGTGGCGAGTTACTTAATAGGTCCTAATGGAGGTGATTAAAACAAAAAAATGCTAACCCACATGGATGAGTTTTCATTTTCGTGAAACCTACTTGGATAAGTAATATGGGTAACTGGTTAGGATTTCGTATTAACTTGATTTGGAAGCCAACAGCTGTGTTTCCTTTATCTCATTTTTTACTTAATCTAAAAATATCAAACACATTTCCAATCTGATTCTTAAAATACAGAAAGAACAGCTATAACTGTTGTAAATCATGATTTCTCTTGTCTCATTACCTTTTGACACCCAATGGTAGTTGAAGTAACAAGCATGATCGGTTCCGTTTGAGTTTCATGTGCCTTTGTTTCCTTGAATAAAAAAATAACGGGGAAGCTTTTGGTTTAAGTTGAAGGAACGGTTGAATTTCATTTTTACTTTTGGAAAGACCTATGTTATTTGATAACTGAAATATAAAGTAGAAAGTGAAGTAGGCAAAAAAAGTTACGGGAAACAGAAGCAGAGTTTTCTAAGTGGTTTGGGTATCACATCTGGAGCAAATTCCTTATCATACAATCCCGTTGTGATTATGGAGCATGTTACTGTCAATGTTTGTTTGCATGCTTGTGACGAGAGTTTTTTGCCAGGTTCTGTCGCGAGTCAGTGCAGACAGTGCTTCCCCCAAATCAGTGGCTTAGTAAGCGTCTATGTGCTTCATTTGATGATCAAATCATTGATCGTGAGCAACAGGTCCAGGTTCTTGCTAAAGAAGCTGAAGATCTACGACAGAGGAAGCGGGATTCTGAGGGAAGTCTACATAGTCTTGGAGAAACACTGCGGTCAGCGAAGGTGATAACTGTCATCTATCATTTGCTTAAGAGCTTCCTAATCATCCTGTAGTCCATTTCTGCGCCTTTAACTGAAGAATGGTAGGCACACTTCAGCTCAATGTTTGCACGTGCTGAACCTTAGCATGGTTATGTAGATTCATACTTTGAACTTGACCTTTTCGGTAGACACAGCCTGGCTATTTTGTATGTCATACTGTCGATAAACCTGTCTTATTCCACTAGGATCTTGCTATTCCACATGTGCTTCATTTTGTATGTCATGCATGTGGAGCGTAGTTCTGTTTAGCCCACATAATCTTGCATTGCCTTTCAGCATCTTCTTTACTTTAGCTGGAAGCTGCCTTTGTTTGTGCTTCTGTACGTGAAATTCTTTGCTGTTCCTTTTAACTAATTGTAGAAGAAACGCTGGGACGCTGAGCGGGAGTTGGCATCTATGAAACTAGAGCTGGAGGATTTGGAGCGATCAACTGACAGTGCTAGTATGTCGCTGCCAACATCAACTTTGGATGAGCTTCATGAAGAAATTTCTGTTTGTTCCAGCTTCTATTTCTCTTTTTGATGCTTTACTGCAGACTTGCTTATTTCTGTGTCGTTTTTACTGGGATTCCTTCTCTAACCTAACTGCATCTTGTTTACATGACTTGCGCAGAAGATAGAAGAAGAGATAAAGCACAAACAGACTACTGTAGAAAAGCTTCAGTTTGAAATTGGAAAAGCTGAAGCAAAATTTAAGGCTCTGAAGATCTCCTTTCAGAGTTTATGTGGTATGACTAGTGTTGGTGGATTTCTCTTTTAGGAAAAAAGATCACCTTAGGATTAGTTTCTCTTTGGCTTAATTGTAAAACTGTAGATTCAGCAAAAGAAGATTTCAAGACCCTGGATGATGCTGAGATTGAGCTGACGAAGATTGAGACTGATCTGAAGACTGCTGAGATGGTATTTTTCCTTTGAGCTCAGTTTATTTCTTGATCCACCACTTTCTTTCTTTTTGTTTTTTATTCTGCAGATAATGCTGCTGGCCCTTTTGGTTTGGTTGTCGATTGGTTGAATGTTTCTATTCATCCATTACCACTAGCCTAACCCCTTGGGGTTGCTTGATTCACCACTTCCAAACTGATACTTACTATTATCTAACTAAAATAGCATATTGTCATGTCAGCAAAAAGAGCATTACGAGAGTGTAATGGCGACTAAAGTCATTGTCAAGATTGAAAATGCCGAGGCAAAGCTTAGGGAGCTCGAAGATGAGCGACAGGTAAACTTTCAAGTGTCATTACCGTATCAAATTGAGACCGTCGTAACTTGCCTTTTCTTTCTCAACAGCCTTCTCAACATGCTTGCTCTTATATTCTTGGTGCTCAATGCCATAATTTTCTTTTTGCTTGATTCTCAAATTGGTGCTTGGGTTAAACTTAATATGGGAAGGTTCCATGAACAGTGAGCTAACAGTATCATAGATTGTTAGGGTTTTTGCTCGCTGGTACAAATGGGGTTAATGGGTCTGGAAAAATAAGAAGTTAGTTCAGCATGGTTCCACTGACTCGTGCTAACATATCCAACTTCTGTGCCCTGCCATGCTTCTGTGACAAGCGTTGGTGTTCTCTGGAATTTGATCTGAAATACATGTACCTGAAAAGAATTGCTCACAGCACTGGCAATTCTTAGATCATAATCTTCATACTGAAAGCTGAAGACTATAATGTTGTGCTGAGAAGGTGGTGTGTTCCTCTCTATCTTCTTTGGTGGATGCAGCAGCTATTAAAAGTTTAATCTGAAGCAACTGTTTTATCATCTGTAGGGCTTACTTTTAGTGTTTGATTACAGGAAAGATACAGGAAGGCTTCCATCATTTGTCCAGAGAGTGATCTTGAAAATTTAGGAGGAGCATCAGATGGACTAGATAGCAGCAGTCCAGAGCAACTCAGTGCCCATTTAAGTATACGGAAAGATAGGCTTCACAAGGAGAGTCAGCAGTATGTCCTGATATGCTGAACATTATATATTCCTTTAGTGATTTAAATGAAAAGGTCTTACACTTACATTGGCAGGTTTTCAGAATCTATTGATGATCTGAGAATGATGTACGAGGAAAAAGAAAATAAAATTCAAAAGAGAAGACAATGGTGTAAAACATTCAGAGAAAAATTGGAGGTATGCTATATATCTCAATTGTTTTAGGGTTAATATATTTGTATGCCTGAAGTTTTCACAAATTAAACATTCTGATCATTTTTTTCGATCTATAATTTCATGGCCTCAACTATGCATCAAAGTTACTAAATTGGTCAAATCCGAGATTTGAACGTTATTTTGGACGGTCAAACGCATTGACTAACGGTCAACGCGCCACGCCGTCACGTCACTGCCCAATCAGCATAAAAAATTATTAAATTCCACATATTATCTAATATTTGGATTATTACATTTTAATTGAGGCCACGTTGCATTAGAGACATTATTTATTTTTATTAATTAATTATAATAATTTAAAATTATAAAATATGTGAATTGTGGTAAATTTTTAATATTTTTTATGTTTACTGTGTAGTGACGTTGCTAGTTGACCATTAGTCAACAGTTTTGACCGTCCAACATAACGGTCAAATATTGGGTTTGGCCATTTAGTAACTTTGATGATTAGTTGAAGCCACAATATGATAGATCGAAAAAGATTGACCAGGATGTTTAATCTGTGAAAAGTTCAGACCATACAAATATATTAACCCTTTGGTGTATTTAAATGAATATATTCCCTTAACCTCTTTGTCTACGTCACTGTTCTTCGGGTTGGTTTTACTTATAATTTTCTACTCCATTCTATTTGCAGGTCTGCGTGAAAGCATTAGAGTTGCGGTGGAAGAAGTTCGAGAGCAATAAGAACAGCGCAAGGCGTGATTTAACTTGGAAGTATGATTTTCCACTTGCTTAGTGCCGATTGTCTAGCATCTTGTAACAACCCAGCTGGGTGAGGACGTGTGAGGATAGTCAAGTATAAATAGCTACTACTGTTAGGAGAAGGGCATCTTTGACCAATTGTGTAAACAATAGTTACTTTTCCTTTCCCTGCTTTAGCTGTAGCTTGATAGGAACCATACTTCTCTTCTTCATCTATCCTCTGTAAATATTGCTCCAAAGATGCAGAAGAGATGAAGAAGAGAAGTATGGTTCCTATCAAGCTACAGCTAAAGCAGGGAAAGGAAAAGTAACTATTGTTTACACAATTGGTCAAAGATGCCCTTCTCCTAACAGTAGTAGCTATTTATACTTGACTATCCTCACACGTCCTCACCCAGCTGGGTTGTTACAAACCCTCCCCCTTCATAGGCAGCTTGTCCTCAAGCTGTGTGCAAGATGGAAAGTAGGATGAGCCTTGAAAGAGAGCAAGGCTTCCCAAGTAGCTTCCTCGGGTAGCTGAAGTGTCCACTGCAAAAGCACTTGCATCACAGTCTGGTTTCCCTTGTTCACAAATAGTTGAAAGTTGGACAGCAGCCTTGGTTCTTGCAGTGTCGGTTGGTGCACTAATCGCCTGGCCAATTGCTGGAAGTTTGACAACAGTTTTGGTTTTGGGATTTGGACAGCAGCTCTCTTGTGCGTTCCAGCCTTCAGGAAGTGGACGAGTTTGACAGAACATCTCAATCAACTCGGCAGCTAGGAAACACAAAGACTGGTTGGACACAACTGCAACTCGAATATGCACAACACAAGAGTAACAAAGACAAATTAGAGCACAATTCCACAATGCATCCAATGATTTCTCAGTATGATCCACTCTTTCACAAGCTAACTTCGCTGCTGCAAAAGTAAGCAACCCTTGTGCATTCAACCCATTATCTCCCTCACGCAACCCAGAATTTTGTTTTCTCGGGACAGACGCAACATCATCACCATCAATTGGATGGAACAAATATCTGGTCCTTCTCTTCTTTACCGATTTAATTTGCCGCTTCCTAAGCCAGAAGAAGGCAAACACGATAACAAGAAGCCCTGCTGAACCCATAGATGATAGAAGAATGCTCAACTTCAACTCAAGTGAATCATTAAATCCCCCTTGAAACGTAGCAAATTCCTCTGTCTCAACTCGAACATACAAATCCTGGGAACTAGCAGGGAAATACATTGTATCCACCAGTTCTCCATACCAAAACAAGCAACCCTTGTCCTTCAGAGCATCATCTATTTCAGTATATGCAGAATATGAACATTTCTTCCTACACTTACGTTCACAGTCCAGTTCCCCGCTATCATCCTTCCCAATCCAAACTGCCCCTGAACTATCCGAATGCTTCACCTTCGGCACTCTCACAAATCCTTCTCCCAAGGGAAGAACACAATCTTTATAAGGACCTTTGAAATCATCATGATTCCTACTGCCATGGAAATGCCTAAGGATGCCATAGAAGGTTGGGAAGACATGAAATCCGTAACTCCAATTGGCATTGCCAGACTCGATAGTGCAACCAAAGAGCCCAAACACAAACTCAGTAGGACAAGGATCACCAAAAATGAAATTTGTCTCTTCAACAGTAAGAATCTTATCAATGTATACGGCAGAAATCATCTTCTGGTTAGGAGAACTAGCATATGATTTGGCAGTTTGAGAACCACACAGAATTGTCCGAACGAAAGGCAGCCGAGTAGAAGGCGTATCCACAAAATTCAAGCATGGAGCTGACACCAGTAAAGGAAACAAGGAAGAAGTGGCTTGAGTACGAACCTGGGAGTCTCCCACAAACCCAGTTCCCTCGGAAATCAACGAAGGGAGGACCAACGGCTGCTGAAGCTGATTGCACGCCGCGACGACAGTCATCTGCTCTTGACTCCCAAACCGAAGAAGCAACCCACCGACAAAATCACCCCAAAGCAAAGGAAAACGCCGGAAAGACCACCCCTCAAACCATGTGCGAGCACGCCCGTCTAGATAGTGCGAACCCAAATCGACCTTCTGATCTTCCGGAACTGAGTAAAGCAAGAAGAGTTCGGTACATTTGCTCACCCACACATGAGGATCCAAGCCAGAGAAATAGGGCAACTCGAGACGATGATAGGGATCCACCATTGACGACCGACGCGGTTGATGCCGGAAGTGCTGATGATCAGGGCGATGAACGTAATTGGGACGCGGTGGTGAGTGAATCGGCGGTGGTTCATGAGAAGAGGGATTTGGGTCTTGAATTCCCGAAGACGTAACAGCAGAAGGAATTAGCGATTTCGGTGTTGGTGTAGACGGGTGAGAAACCCAATTGAAGGTTGGAGAAGGAACCTGGTGGTCTGTGGCCGAATCATGCTGCCCGGAGAAGAGGGGAAAAGGAACCCACCCATGAGGATCCCGAATCGACGGTCGCGGTGATGGCGGACGGAACTGCCGTTGCTCAGCGAACTGATTGGGATTCTCATGCCATGAAGAACGGACCGGAGAATTGGTCCGCCGACGCTCCAACGAAGCAGTGAGGGTGTCGATTTTGGCCTTCGTCGAAGCAGCCAGCGCGGCAATGGCGTCCTTCAGCTCCTGGTGTTGAGAAGCCATCTTGAGCTGAACATCCGCCATTTGTGTCTCCAAATCAACGATTCTCGCTGTAGTAGTCGCCATTGGTGCCAGATGACAGGCTCTGAATACCACTTGTAAGGATCTTTATTGATAAATCTGGCGAAAGAGATGAAGAATGGGCATGGAGGATTTACAGAGGATAGATGAAGAAGAGAAGTATGGTTCCTATCAAGCTACAGCTAAAGCAGGGAAAGGAAAAGTAACTATTGTTTACACAATTGGTCAAAGATGCCCTTCTCCTAACAGTAGTAGCTATTTATACTTGACTATCCTCACACGTCCTCACCCAGCTGGGTTGTTACACATCTTCTCTGAACTTATGACGAATTTTATCTTATTTGCCTTTGTACTTTCAGTTTCAATGATCATCTGGGAAAGAAAGGAATAAGTGGGAACATCAAAATTGACTACGAGGAAAAAAGTCTGGGAGTGGAGGTCAGCACTTGTTTCCGTAAAACTCTGCACATGTACACAACTTGTGGACTAACAGATGGGTTTTGCTGCCTTTTTTCATTTGTCTATGATGCTGAACTCTGCTGCTTTAATGTTTTTTATCTGTGTGTGTGTATGTGGTTAAGGTGAAAATGCCACAAGATGCATCAAATAGCTCAGTTCGCGACACAAGAGGGCTTTCAGGTTCTCTCTATACTAGTTTGTTTCCTGCATGTGATGCACAGTTTTAGCATCTAACTGGTTTTGCAAATTCAACCCGGGAATCTTCTTGTATTAGTGCTGCTGGGCAAACCTGGGATAGGCAGGCTTGTACCATTTGTCTTCTGACATTGAATTAACATAACATTAAAACTATATGTCAGAATGTACCAACGCAGCAAGAGTGACTCCTAAAGCTTCTTTACTCACTGTTGTTGGTGCTATATAATTAGGTGGTGAGCGCTCCTTCTCAACTCTATGCTTTGCACTATCACTTCATCAGATGATAGAGTGTCCATTCCGAGCGATGGATGAGTTTGATGTATTTATGGTAAAAAGCGAAACTTGACCTTGGCATGTCCGCTTTCAGTATTGGGGGATCACATTTTCATGTCATGCATCAGTATTATGGTTGAGATAAATTGATGCTCTGTCTGTTTTCAGGATGCGGTGAGTCGCAAAATCAGCTTGGACACACTGGTGGATTTCGCGCTAAGTCACAAAGCTCAGTGGATATTTATTACTCCTCACGATATCAGGTGAACAAGAAATGTTTGTTCTAGCTCGAGAAAGTTTTGATCTTGATTGATCATCTCCCTGAAATGTTTGTGCTTGATCTGGTGTTTGTTTGAATAATGTATGACAGCATGGTGAAACAAGATGAGAATATAAGGAAGCAGCAAATGGCAGCGCCTCGATCTTAGGCATTCAACGATGCACGTTCACTGGTTCGATCTTATTGTTTGATGAACAGCTTCTGGAAATTTTCTTTTGATTTTTGTACATAGTATCAAGGGTCCAAAATCTGTGCTGACTCTTCTTCTCAATTGCATGCATGCATGCATATCCCACCACCATGCATGCCATTACAATTAGGGTTTTGGGGGTTTCTTCGGTTGAAATTAATTTATGCCGTTGGGCCTGCTTCTCCAATCAAAGCAGAAAATTGAGTTCCCTGCCGTATCTATTATTATTATTATTTATTTATTTATTGCATGGGCAATCAAAAAAATCTTGTTAAGCTTATAGTGAGAACTCAATTTGAGTCCCATTTTTCTCATTATGTTACATTACAACTGTCATTTTCTAGCAACATACAGAATTTACTATACCCTAAAATACACTGTCAACTTTACAACTTTCTACAACTTATAAAAGTAAACAAACTTCTATTACCTATCTTATTGTGTAAGCCCAACAGGTTCAGAAACAGATGTTACTTACTTCTCATGAGTGTTGGGCCATTTGTACGTTTTTAGTTTCAATTTGGGCTTTTGGGTTAAGTGAATTCGGGACATACCCAGTCACTGGTGGGGTTTGCCGGCAACGGGAAGAAGCGCGAACTGAAAGCGTCATCGGCCGATTTCAATTCCAGGGCAGTGAAATGCAGCGGGGAGACGACGAAGACGACAAAAGATGGGCTTCCAAGTCTATTTTAAGTCCAGAATGTGCGACTCCGATTTAGGCGAATTGCAAAATTAAAGGGCTCTACCGAAAGGACCCTTCCACAAAATCCTCTTAAACCAGGAAAATTTGAATGGGTCGACGGTTCTACTTTTCAGCTATAATAAAAAGTGTAGATAGATGTTGATGTAGAAGATATAGTTAACAACTATAAATTAAAGGGTAATGTCTACTTTTTATTCAAACTTTTTTTAGATTTTTGTATATTATTTATACCTATCGAAATACTAAGAATTAGCCAAATGTTAACTTTCAGTCAGCAAATTTGT